GTAATCACTGATAATACGTTTACTATAACGGTACCCATGCACTACTTTAAGTTAGTTTTCGTTTGCACTATAATTTATACTCTATACGTAAGTACTTATTATTCGTAAAGAACATAATACCTTCTTAGAAATTTTAGAAAAAATTAAAATAAACGCCAAGATTTTGTTTCACTCTTCTTGTCATGATAGGTATCTACGAAAATTAGATCGGGTAATAAGAAAAAAAATAACTTATTGAAGATAATTAAAAAAAAATACCAAACTAAAGGAATCTCTAAGTTCAATTGTGCGAAAATTATTGCACTGATAAATCAACCAAAAATAAATAAATAATATGAAAGTATAAATATTAAATTATAAATGTTATAAAATATTAGCACACCCACCCAACATTTTAAGAATAGTTGTAAGCAAAAATAATTAAATAAATAATAATAACCAAATAGTTTTAGGGTATAAGCCAGTTCACCCCTTCATTGTGCATACTGGGTAATTTTAAATGAACTAAGATACATTCGAACTACGTTAAAATATGATCTTATATTTTTGGGACTCACTTAAAACATTAAAAATAAGAGTTATTTCGGTACGCACTCGAAAAACTTCCTTTTAATATTAATCAGAATTCCTCAAAATTTTAATAATCCAACGCCCTTTTATAATTCCAAACATTAAAATAATGGTAAATAAAAAAAAATTATATTATTATACACATACAATTTATAAATTATATTAATGAAGAATGATATGATGAGAATATTATTTAATTAATATAATTTAATACACATTAAATTAAATATTTTATTTTATATTCATTGTTAAGTTGGAAATTAAATAGCAAATCGTTCGTGCATCGTTGTTTATGAAATGCAGTTTAATATCAACGTTTGTGGTGTATTTGAGTCTCCGGGAATTTTTTTTTTTTTAGTAATAGGTATATGAACTCCTCAACTTAAGACTTTGAAAATCGTTATTATAATAACTATACCAACGACGAGGAGACCTGCCGAAATCGCTCAGGATAAATATATTTTATGGATTCCTAAAACAAGAATCTGTTTGGCATTTTATCGTATACCTACGACCCACAAAACGTACACACCACATAATTATAACGCAATATATTATCTGCACATTATCGTAGTACGACGCAATGTAATATTTATCACATTATTCACGATCATTACACCGAGGTCCGTGAACATTCATGATTGCATACGATACTGTTTTGCCCTGCGGTTCGGACGATCATTAATATATTATAATATCGTAATATCGTCCCGAAGACCATGCACGTGCGTACACACCGATGCGAGTGTAATGTACAGCCGCGGTGTGCGCGTACCTATACATTTTATATTACACGTACGTACAGTATGTACGCTCAATTAAACATTTTGTACATAACGTAATATTATTATTATTATTATTATAAACTAGACCTCGTGTCTGTGTGCGTATATGTGGGCGCGTACATTTAAATTCACGGTCATACATACCGTCGGACACAAGACATTTATTGTTATTTATACAAACGTAATTTATTCGACGTGTATGTCTATAGGCTTTTCGAACGGGCGGCTGCCGCGGAATAACAAACAGCGCCTTAGTGGTTTTACCTAGTTTTGTTTGTTTTTTTCACTCGGTATATTACACACACACACACACACACACACACATATACGCACAAGCACACACGCGCGGTCGCGCGCACTTATAGCCGCTGTCCGGTTGAATACGATCATTAATTTGCACGACCGTACGTGCATAATATACGCTTGTATAAGTACGATCGTGACGTAATCCGTAAGACGTTTGACACACGCGAAATCCGAGTCAAATTCGGCGACGGAAAAACGGGCGAAACGCCACCGCCGTCAATGGACTTACAGCTGGATTTCTATTCCAATCACAAAACTCGATTTCCGGACGACCAGACTGCCGCAAAGTACCTAACACCGCAAATGCCGAAGTCCCCCGGGTCGAGTAATATCGGTAGGGCTCGTTTTGAGCGCCTTTAAATCCCCCACCCCCCGCCCACCCAAAAAATAAAAAATAAAATAATAAACGCCAATGGGTAGTCTCCCTTTGATTTTTAACTGCCGTTCGTATATAAATATATACAACGCAGTTGAATAATAGTATTGCAGTTATTGGATCGAATTTTGAAAAAAAAAAAAAATTACAATCTGATGACTTATTACACGCGTTTAGTATAGTAAGATGCATTGAAAACTAAAAAAAAAAAAAAAATGTTCTCTTTATTTTTATTTGTAGAAAAATTATTTTAAATGTTATCAAATAATGATTAAAAATAATTATATTTTAATTCCTTAAAAACCCGTATCATATGAATCAAGATCCAAAAGAATTCCGTGAAAAAATCGTTTGCATTGAAATGTGGTTTTAAATAATAATTGTTATTGTTAAAATTGTACGCAAAATAACCGCATGACGTAGGTATTCAATAAAAAAACCCATTTAATAAAGACAACTTTAATAAATTATAATAGCTATTATCATGATTTATTTAATTAATTTATTTTATAAACTAATATATAAATCGAAATAGGCGTGTACTCGAACCTAACAGTATAAATTAATTATTTTAGTTATGATAAGTATTGGTTAACAATACAAGCTATACATAAGCAGGTGTGAAATGAAAACGAACTGTTCGAGTCAAACGTGTGTATTACAATATTTGTATGTAAAGTACATGCCTACCTACTTGTTTTGCATTTATTCTTCTCAAAAAGCCTAAGAACACAATTAAGCATGCACGATACACCTATCCCGTCTAGGTTTGTTTTATATAAGGAAGGTACGTCAGTTTTTGTTAAAAATACACACGCTAACAATAGAATTATTTTATAATTTCCGGATAAACTTTCTAGTGAGAATACTCTTGTATTTTTTTAATATGTATAATGTATATTTTAATATTAAAAAACTAACGCAACGTTACAAATACGTATTATGGTATTCAATTATTATCAACAGTTGGAGAAAGACAAATTTATAATTACATTTTCGGACAGTCGATGTATAAAAATTATTATTATGTAATTCAGTTATCTTTGCAAGCGTCATTAATGAATAACTGCTCAGTGTTCGAATCAAAGCTTGTCACGAAAATACGTATTTCTTATTATTAGTACATTCACACGAGATAAATAATTAATGTTAATATGTATCTAGCTCACAACATATAATATACTCATGAGTCATGTCTAATTTTTCCCTCTAAACATACATTGTATATTAAAAATAAATATTTAATGCTAAATGATGTTAAATGAATACTAATAATGAATAATATCATGTGCCATGTGCTTAATGTATCGACACAGTATATACTTAACTTTGCGATAATATTGTATTATAGAAGAACATTACACAATACAGTTAATCTCCGTTTACTGTGTGTCGTGATTAAAAAAAGCTAAACATTAAAATGTTTTCAAAAGGTCGTCAAAACACTAGTGTAATTAGATTTTTTTTTAACAACACGTTTTATACGTTTAATAAAACGAATTTATTATTAACAAAATAGGTATTTATGCATAGTACCTGTGTAATAATATATTGCAATAGAGACACATACGATAGTTTTTCTGTTCGCCATCATATAAACTGGTTATAAAACCGCTTATTACTATCAAGTCGTAGGAAGTCGTGTGAAAATAAACAATTTGTGATTAAGTCGCATTTTTAATGCAGAGAAATATTATGATGTACAACCTGCACAATATGTACACGGTTGAAGAGAAGATCTTGAAAATAGATTTGGTAAACCGCATATTAAGCAGAGGTAATAAAGGTCACATAATATGAATCGTTCAGGGTCAGTAACTGAAAATACTAAGTAGGCACAATGTATATTATTACTAGGTACCTAAAATAATGCTAAATTGTCGTTAAAAACAATGTAAATTTATAAAAATCAAAAACGTTCGTTGCAAAGATCTTAAACAATATACACGGTGGCTTATGAAAAAAAAATATGACAATCACGATGGAATATTGTACAGGTACCATTCATTATTATACACCCGTGGTTCATTGACGAAAATAACGTCCTAATTCAGCCGCGTAAAAGATAGCGATATCAAAATGTATCAAATCTATAATTTAAAAAAAAAAACTGCATTTTTCTGTTGCATTTGTGCAGACTATTTAACGTCGCTACTCCTCCTCTAACACATAATATAATTATTATCTAGCTACCAACTAGTATACGACTTCACTACAAAATACGGCGTTAAGCACACGACACACACGCGCGCAGACACTACTTATCAGTTCCAAACACAATATTATATTATGTGTCGGCCGTAATCAAAGGCACGACGAACAATCCGATCACATCTGTAGTGCATTAAAGTTTTTTATCTTAACACACATACACACACACACAATAAATATCATACGATATTATTATTTACTATTTGGTATAAGGTAATGTATTATTATTGTTGCTACTACCTTGTGCGCGAAACGGAGTGCTTATCGCGAGCTGTTCATTGCCGGCGATTCCTACTCGTACGTCGACTGTCAGCAAACGGTCGCGCGTTAACGATATTATAATTGTTATTTTACGAAAGAATTTGTGTATCGTGATAACCAGCCGTGTGCTGCTGACTGTATCGGACTGTGTTTCCTAGACGGGGCCGGATGACGTGACCGGCTCGGAAACGATAGTATAATTATTATTTTGATATTTGATATCAAAAAAAACGCCGAAAGTGTTCTCCGCGGTTTACGTTATACGCCGGCTCCGATCGTCGTCGGATCACTGACGCGGCCGTGGCTCGCGAATCGCCTCCCGATTGCGTGTCCGGTTGAACTTAACCAAGCCACGCCTACTGGTTCAAATATGACTTAAAACCGTACAGTATCATATTCGAAACTAAATTTCAATAAATAATATTATTTTCGTTATTGTTATTATTATTTTTTTTAACGATTATCGTGCTCGCCATTTCGACGTCGAACTCTAATCTATTATTGTAGTTCCGGGACGACGCGATTTCTTAAGCATTTGCGGTGTTGTTTGCAGTTGATTGGCCTCGACTATAGTCTTAGAGTTGATTTCAATCACAGCAATAATAGTGGTTTTGGTTTTGTCCTATATGTATACGAAAACACAACACATACGTTAATAAATAATGTTTAAAAAAATTCGTACAAATATTGCATTCAAAAAGTAAAGTACGTAAAATAATTACTATTTAATATTTTTACGGCTTCGGCCATATCTCTTCTAATTTGATTTGATTATTAGTCACACATTTTGAGCACACAGATAATGGTATTTCAAATTGATTTGTTCACAAATACAAAGTAAAATTAATTCGCACAATTGTAAATTGAAATTTTCAAAATTAAAGGGGAGAGGCGTGATGGATGTCTGTTTTTTACATTATATGTAATATTTATTCGTCTGAATTGTTAATAATTTTTTTATTTTTTATGATAATATATACTTATATGAATATCATGAATTTTCGGGTGAAATTTTAATTTTTATCATTATATAATTATAGCTACAAGTTACAGTAAAATACCTATATATATATATATATCATAGCTCATTGTATGCTGAATGGGCTTCGTATTTTGATAATATGACAGTGAAAATTGACCTTGTATTGTATTATTTGAACGTTTAAATCATATAATGTACCTAATAATGTGTAACGTACACAATACACAGAATTCGGAATAAAATTGTGTAGCTTGAAAAGTTTCAAGTAATAACAATTGAATGATGAGAAATAAAAATTGTGTTCTAAAATGTGGTTATTTGTAACGATATTTCTACGATTATACCATGTGTTTAGGAAATATTTGCATATTGATAACTGCAAACACCAGTATAATAGCTTTAAGAAAAATTATAGTTTTAGGTCTATTTTGACATTCTACTTCAAATAATTACCATTTTACCAACATAGTAAGTATTATCTATTATGTATATTACGTTTTTGTATTAATTATTACTAAATCCGGGCTACTAAAGACAAATACATGTTGAAACTATTGAAAAAAAAAAATTGAAAAATGTTAAATGACTCTTTAGGTATAATAGCCTCAAATCTTAATCCATAACATTGTGGTAAAATATTTTCGATTCTATTCATACGTAAACAATAAATGTATTTGATTTACTATGATTTTTAGAACTTATAGAACAAAATAGTTTAAATTGAACAATATTTTAGTCATTATGTACATTTTGAATATTATTTGTTGTTTGCAATCGCCTCCTACATTCTCGCAGATTGGCACCATCGCACTGCACATTATTATTAATTATTCTAATAGATTATGATAATACACGTACATTTTATAATATATTAAATATTATATTTCATGTATCACGTGTAAACTTTATCAAACGTTTTAAATCAAATAATTTTACTTTCGTATTGCATATTTATATTTATTATAATCAAGCTGTATAGTTTGTATAGATTATTATAGCACTCTTAAAATATTATTTATATTATATAGTATAATAGTTAGTTAATAAAATAAATACGTTTATATATATATATATAAACTCATAACATTATTAGTAATTCAACAAACTATCAGACATGACTATTTTAAATAATCAATAGAATGGACAAATTGACGCAATAGAAATTAATTTTATCGGTCATATTATACCTATGATGAAAAATGTGATGTTATCAAAAATATCAGTGCATAATCCGTCCTACGACACGATACTAATAAATAAAGTACCTACTAAAATTATTGTTCAACGACTGTATATGTATATTATGTCGTGCGAACGGTTTTTTTAAACTTTATCATACCTGCCCTTCTATACAAAATAGTAACTACTGTACCGGTCGCCGGTGTAACGAGTCTCATACAACATTATATTATAGAAAAATTAGTGGTAGATCATAGTATCGTGTACGATGCATCATAAAAATATGTTAGCTCTTCACTCCTAAGTCATGTTTCGTGTTATCGAAAAAAACAGATATATTGTATCGTACAATGATAAATAGGTATAAGATAACACAACGACTTTTTAAAAATTAAAAGTAGGTATGAAAAACATGTATGTTTGTATGGATAAGAAATGAGTTATGAAGCAACATATTAAAATTTACGAATAAAATTAAAATATGCAGTGTGACACTTAAAACCGCAAAAGTTGAAATCTGTCTGCGACCGATAGACTGAATAACAATAATTTGAAAAAAATAATGAATCAGCCGAAATTATTTTAGGTTATTGTTGAATGTCGACAGAGCATTTCAAAACGTACAAACGATAATAAAAACATAATCAACTGAAGTAAAACTAGGTTTATATTAAGGTAAACAAAATAATTATTTGAAAGATTAACATAGTATTATGTTTTATAGATATTACTGGTCCTACAAAGTTGGAAGACTGTTGTTTTATAATCACTTTACTTAAATTGATGTAATATGTTTTATGTACACTATGTGACCCGCGTGGGTATAAAAAAAATTAAAATAAATCAACATTATTACGTTTAAAAAAAAAAAAAAAAAAAACCAATACAATTTTCTAATACGTTTAATATGTCAGCGTGACTAACCTATACGTGCCTAGCGATATATTTTGAACTACACTAGACGTTTAGACACCATCTTTGTTGTTGATAATTTCCTAAAATGAATTTTTACACAATAATATGTAATATAATATTATATTATATAAGTGAAATTAAATTAAATGATTAATTAATTTAACAATTTGGTTTGGTATTAACGATGTTATTATTAGGGAATTTAAATTATAGACAGTAAGTTGATTCGTCAACAGTAAAAGTAAATCTGTCTTTGTTTAACCTATGTACATTTTTAGTGTTTGCAACGGGTGTGATATTATGCTTAATTAACTTACAAATAGGCAACCAAACTTACTAGAACTATTAAGTTATTGTATTCTGTTATATTTCCAGTGCATAATATATCAAAACTAGACATAAAAACCTACGCACATATCCTAGTACTATATAACCTAATCTATAGCTACCTTTATTACATGTACTAATATACAATCATTTGTAAGTAGATAAATTTCCTTTAACTACTAGTATTAGGTGGTATCAGAGTACTTACTTATATTCGAAATGTACAAATGAATGCTTGAATTGCGTTAGTCATTGGTTTGTTGTAAATATTTATGTTTCAAGAAGGAGTATCTCAGATTCGTATCAAAACCTGAAAAAAGGAAAATCAATTTAATAAAATGATTATCATATAAATTGAACTCCTTCTTCCGTCTTCGCTTAGGACACAACCTTCTCCCCCCTCATTCATTTCGCTTATCACTCAACTCTTCCCCCCCTTTGCACGCTCCATAGTTTTGAAGCCATTTGTGATATTAACCATACTCTTTTATTTTTTCCTTCTCTAACCCATCTCTGCGATCCATTTCTCTTACAACACTCTTTATTAGGTTACTCCTCTCCTGATATTATACTGCTTCTCAATTCTCGCTCTCCCTCTGTTATTTACCTCATCATTAATTTCATCTACAAAGCTGGCTTCCTCATATAAATTTTAATTATGATAAAAAAAAAAAAAAATGTTACTATGTGTTTATATTTAATTATGTTATTTTCTTTTTAATTTTAATTTTGTTTTTAAATTTCTTTATAAACATTTTTATGTATTTTTGTTTCACTTATTTTTAATTGTCGTGCTGTAATGTTTCAAATAAAAGCACTAAAAAAAAAAAATATATATATATATATATATATAAATTGAACACCTTATTTTTTTTCATCCAAGAACAAAACACATAATAGTAAATATTAAATATATATTCTTTTTCTCAAATTGTTTTCTCGTGTAAATTATCAATATTTTCTATAGTTTAATAATTGCCGGCAATTTTCTATGCTGATCGAAAAATTTTAAAAAGAAATTAGGTACTAATATCATATTGGTAACACTTTGTCTAGACGTTCGTTTGTGAACGCTAATCAAAGATCGATAATATAATATTATGCATGGTTGGTGCTGTAATGTTTCAAATAAAAGCACTAAATAAAAAAAAATAATAATAATATTATGCATCAAATGGTAAATGTATAACTTGTCTGAAAAAAAAAAATAAAAACTCATAAATTATAATCAATTTTTTTTTTTTTATGTAGCTACTAATAAATTATGATTTATTAGTTAAACATCCATTGTTAAATATAAATAGGTACATATATTTAGGTCGTGTCATAATTGATATTTGACGGACGTCTTTTGAGAAAGGCGTTCAACAACAATATTTTTCATAATTTACTAGCGACCTATGCATTGCAGTACTCCAGGACTTATTGTGACGAAACAATTTATGTGCATTAAAATTCTAATTAGGAACGTTTGCCCGTAATATGTATATTATAATATTCACTACATAATTTGTTAGACAAATAAATATAACTGTATTACATAAAATACATTTTTTGGTGTATGTATACTTAAACTATACTTACAATATTCACACGATATAGCTCGTTAAACTTAGAGCAAAAGTATACTATATTATGTACTATATATACACATAAATATAATATAATCTTGATAATTTAGCGTAAAGTTATATTATAGTAATAATTTTATTTGGACCAATGCACACATTTTAAATACTAAAAAAGTTGTGTTATGTAATGTTTAAATAAAATCGAGGCAAAATTTCCATCATTGCAATATCCCGCATTCACATGCAAAGTCAGATTTTGATGCTTTAAAGTGAAATTCATGTTTACATAATAGGT